GTTGTAGTGGGGGGGGGGGTGGGATGATCTACCCAGGACCCCACTGAAGGAGGGGCTTCAAAAAGCCTGGAATTAAATGTTTGTCTTGGTTTTATTCCTAAGTAATTAATATCATGAGTAAATTCTCTCAGCTGCTTAAAACAGTTGAAAGATCCAGTATCCAAAAAATAGTAGCGGCTCTCTGAGGTCTCCAGCTGCACCAAAGGTATAAAACGGTTTGGTGTGTCCGACCGCCCGCGCACTGCTCTAATCGCAGCTAATCGAGCAGAGCGATGGCTGAAGCTGGAGTTAACGTGTTGTGAGTCAGGTCTCTACCCGAGAAAGCAGAATCAGGATATCAAAAAAAATGAAAGAGAGGAAAGGGAAAGAAAGCAAAGTGACTGAAAACTGACAATCTTATTTGAGTTTGCTTTCTTTCCAATTGATTGAAGGCAAGAGCATATTTGCATTAAATGAATCCATCCAGCTATACTGCTTGTCCTTTGAGGGTCATTGGGGAGCTGCAGCCAATCCCGGTTGACAATGGGCAAGAAGCCGGGTACACCCTGGAGAGGTCCATAAATGAATCAATGTCATAAATGAATCAATATCATATGTACATATATGACGACACGAAACATGTGAACCTCAGTTACAGAAACGCACATCAAGAGCAGCAGCAGCAGGTCCCCCATGTATTGACAAGGATGTGAAGCTTATGAAGTATAGTGTTGGGTAAAGTTCGTACAAGCAATCATTTTACATGGAGGTGCTGAGGAGCTCGTGGTCAAAACCTTGCATCAATATTTATTCCCTTTTCCAGTAAGCTAGTACAACATGTTTGGTAACAGTGCTGTTGTTGTAGTCTCAAGATTCATATGATACCACTGTCTTCATGCTGGTTTAAACACTAAGGGGGCTTTCATATCCACCTTGTCGGGTCCGGACCTTCACAACTTTTGATGTCTAAACCTAAATATCAGGTGTGAGAGGTTGTTTGCCGTGTGGAAATACTTTGTTGGATTACTGCAGGAAGTTGAGACAGTTCAACAATAGAAGAAGAAAAATCAGCTCGCAGGATTGCTTGTAGTCTTCACCTCTGACAATATAATAAGTACAATAAACAATAAGGATGTTCATCTTGCTGGTAGTGAAAACATATTGATATTACACTGGCAATGAAATAAAAAAACTGATTAATTTATCATTTATTCATCACTTTGTTTTGTGTATTTGTTTAAATGTAAACTCATTTGGAACTGCACTTGAAATTCTTCTTTTCGAGACCTTGAGTGGGGGAAGTCAGATATTTTTAAGGCCAGAATCTTTGACACTCTGTTGCAGAGAGGAAAATGTCTTGGTTTCACATTCCAGCAGCACAGGATGAAAGTGAGCGACTGTCCAGAACGAAGGCCCTGTGAATTGCCTTGGGTCACCGCTTGTGCCAGACAGCTCTGACTTTACATGTGCCTGTAAACATGGTGCTCGATCTGGACGTAGCTGCAGCCTGCCCTAAAACTCAACTCAAGTGTTTGTATAAAGCTGCGGCTTGGCCACACCGAAGCGAGGAATTAGATGAACTGAGCACAATACGCCAGAACCGCTCGGTTTTTTAAGGATTCTTCCAATGTAGTGGAGCCTCCTCTTGGGAAGTGAAAGCTCTTCTGCCTGCTAAGTGCAATCATTAACATCCAGCCTCAAATCACTCATCGCCGTCATTCACTCACAACACACCCATAGATCAAAGTCGCCTTTGTGATTATTACCACATTGCTCTTGGACAGAATCTTTACCAAATGTTTTCACCATTCACATAATGCCAAGAAAATAATCTCCCTGCTCTCTCGGCTGCTTTGTAACAACATGTACAGTGGTGCCGGCGCACCACTTGTCAAGCTGATGCTTTTTCTGAGTGTGTCTACTGAGCAGTGAGTGAAGCTGGATTAATCCCCTCTGCTCTCTCATCAGCGGGTGACCGAGGGCTACCCTGAGGCCTCACCTGCCTCCGTCGCTCTGATCGTGGCAAGAACACAAACGTCTGACACTGCGAGTCTGCTGCAGAGAGCGGGAATGACAGACTGAGACGAGCTCGGCTCTCGTCGCAGGAGGGTTCTTGTTCAGGGGAATATTCACACGTTGGGAGCTCATCTGCTTTGATTGGGATACACAGGGAGAAGCAGATGAGAAAAAATAAAGTCTGACACGTCACCGGAGTCACATCCTGATCCACAGTGTTCTTTACTTCTCAAAGTCACAGGGCATCCCGATGAGGAGAGGAAAAGTATTTTTTTCCTAGTTGACCTGAATACATCTTCCATTCGCCAGCTGTTTAAATTACTCTGAAGAGGAATTGCGCTCCGTTACCCTGGCAGACAGTTGGGACTTTTGTGTCTGCTTGGTTTTAGGCACATGGAGTCTCTGAGGGGATAAGTGTCGCAGCTCGACAAATACCACTGTCAGGACTCGGGGCGACGCAGAAACCACACCGCCCGAGTGGAGGGGATGTCAAACTGTTAAACGAGGCGACCAGCCATTTTCAAAGAAGATGGTGCAGCGGTCTCGGTCTGTCTGTCATTTTTTCACCACCTCTTTTTCCAGCTGAAGGACAAATGCTCATGAGTTCAAGGCCAAGGGGACAAAGTAAAAGCCCAGTTTGAATGGTTCTCTTATGCAGGTGTAGATAATGTATAAACCACCGCAGATACAGCCCACACACACAATGACACTTGCATTCTTACACAGACCTGCTGCATTTCGTTGCCCTGTACATGTACATGTGTAATGACAATAAAGTTGAATCTAATCTAAATATCCAGCCAACGCAAAGTGGGCTGGACGGGCCTGGAGGAAGCATGGCGAAGGGGGCAGAGGGGAGCTGTGCACGTCCTTTATGTTGCAAAAAATATAAATAGCACACTGGCCGCCGGGGAGCTTTCTGACACAGTGGGTGTAATGCAGTCGTTGCTTATGGCTGACAGAGAAAAAAAAGCGCAGCTACTTCATTAAGTGGAAAGGAAAGGAAGCTGGGACAAAGCAAACAAAGCAGGAGTTGGGTGAAAAAGAAATGGGGGTGAGTGGGTGTTGGGGGTGGGTGGAAGGGTGGTGGTGGTGGTGGTGGTGGTGTGTGTTTGGGGGGGGGGGTCGTTCACACTCGGGCAGCATCTTGAGGTAAGCCTCCCCGTCACTTGGGCCTCATATTGCCAGGGCTGCTCGGTTCCCACAGTGTGTCCGGGCCCCGACTCTGGCCTTCCTCCCCGCTCAGGCAGCCCTGCGTCTTTAGACCCCCAGGCCCCGGAGCAGAGGTTACACCAACACAGCCAGCCACAGCAGCATGTCAGCCCCACACCAACCGTTGCCTTGGTGCCGCTGCATTAGCGAAGGAGCTCCCCGACTCTGTTCGAGGGGAAAGTGATTTGCCATGACGTCTATGGCTCTCCTTCTCTGTTCCTCGCCTGGTGCCGATCGCTCACACTGTCTCGTCTCTGCACCCTTAATCTCTCCTGTTTCCCCCGGTCTCATTTTTCCCCTCTTTGTCATTCCCTCCGCCACATCCTTAAATCTTCCCTCCCTAATTCCACTGCTCCTTCACTTTTTTTTTTTCCTGGAGTAATGACTGATGCCTGAAACTCTGAGCCACGATCAGACTGACAATGACGAAAGAAAGAGACATCTGCGTTAAATAAATATTCAGCTGATAAATTGTGCGTTTTTCACCTCTCCCTTTCTGCATTTTTCAAAATTGCTCCCAGCTTGCCGACGTGTCGGTGCCACAGAGTTGCCACCAACGTCAAACGCTGTATTTATTTTCAGTCAGGCACAAAATATGCTCACAAATAACTTCAGAGCCGCACAGTTAGTGTCACTGCAGGGCTGCTGAACAGGAACCGGAGAAGAAGCCTACCAAGTGGCCAACTACGGCGTTTCACTGTGTGACCAGCAAACAGGTGCACGCCACCACAGAGCGACTCTCATACAGAAGCATTCCACACCACAATGAAGTGTGTAATCGATGTTGTGGAAAATAAAGTGAGAGAAAAGTAGTTCTAATTGCAAAATGTAAATATTGAGTTTTCCCACAAGTGGGGGCAGACCACCCAGGATGCAAAATAGTCACCCACCCCCTTTCTCTTTTTGCCTTGTCGACCGCCTGAGAGATGTCTTTTTGTGTGTGTGCAAAACATCACCAACCACAATCAACACACACCCTCACACAAACCGTGATGTGTCTTTGCATGCAAATACTTTCTGGCAGCTCCGGCTTGGCATTTGTATTGTGGGAAAATTAAGTGATGAAAACCTGCAGGGGGAAAGAGGGCTGAGTGGATCAGAAATTGAGTGTATAACACCGTGTCTGTCTTGTTCCTGTAAGGTGCCAGACTTTTGATTCAGGGCGGCCTCTCGTCTGCTCTGAATAATTTCTCACAAGACAGAGGAGCAAGAGGGCGGCCGGCCGGGAAGAACTGTACTGTAGCTGCAGTGTCTGACAGACACAGGCTCCTCCATGTGTGTGTTACAGGCCGGTGTCAAATACTTGTCTGGACTGAGACAAATACCTCCTGCTAGTCCCACTTCAATTACCTGCAGGATTAGCTATGACACATAACCGTTCACACTGCTGATGCTGTTTGAAGATCACAGACAACAGCAAACTCCCAGTGAAACTTCATTTAAGCCTCATTATGTTTCCTTCCTTCTCTGCTTTGGTAAATCTGCATGAATATAAGGAGCTGAGCAAAGTGGCCCAACAGAAAAAGAAATGGATCTAGAGAAGGTGGCTGCTGGGTTTAAACTAAGAAGTTAAAAAAAAAAAGAAGATGGACCAAAGTCCACATTCCAAAATAATCAATTTACAACTTCATTTCCACTCATTTAAACAACTGATCCTGATATTAGTGCCATCTTTCCAAACGCATCCAAATAAACCCATCTAAGAGGAACCCAGCAGTCCAGCAGGAGCCAGTAAATGTTCCCTGGACACACCACGAGAGAAATAAAAAAGCTGCATTGAGGTGAAAACTTACCTTGAGTGGTTTTACTTCCTGAAGCAGACTGTTGGACAAAAGCGACCAGGCAGAGACCTACAAATCCAAGGCTTGCGCGTATCAAAGCGTGCACGTACATGTTAACTTTCACTGTAGTTGAACACGAGCACTTTCTGAAGGTCTGCGATGCGCAAGGAGCGAGTGTGTGTGAGAGTGTGTGAGAGAGAGAGAGAGA